AATGACAGACGACCAGTGTGTGTGTGTGTGTATATTACAATATTGTCTGATAGTAATGTAATAAAGTTATTTTTGTATTGTAAAAAAGGATCTGAAGAATGTAATATATCCACATTAAATGAAGAACTGTAAACAAACGTCTAAATATCTACTTGCTCTAACTAACGAAGTAAGTTGCATATAGATTTTTAACGCTTTTACCTATTATGTCTGTTTTTTTGCTCACACATTGTTGTCAATATAATGGAATTCTATGCGACTGTCATACAAGTTAGAGGTTTAGCCAGCTAAAAAAAAAACAGGTTTAATCCACCATTTTTTACATAAGGAAATGCCTGTAACAAGTCAGGAATATGACAGTTGTTTCCATTCGTTTTATGTGTTTGAGCTTTTGATTTTGCAATTATAAAGGACTTTCCGTTTTGAATTTTCCTTGAAGTTCGGTATTTTTGTCATTTTACTTCTTTTTTTTTATAGATACATTTTATATTTTTGTTGCAAGTCCTTAAACCCTCTGAACTAGAACCAAAAAACAATTTAGCGTAAGCGCGATAAAATTCATTAACACAAACGATGTAGATTGATAATGTGTTTTTGTTTTTGTGTGTGGAATTTAGAAGTTATTTTGCAATGATCATTTCTGTATAAAGAATTTGAACTTGAAATCTCCTTTTATTTATATAGAAACTGGGAGTATAATCCCACATGTACCTGTTCAAAATCATAGTTTGTATGAATACAACCTTGATAAATACGTAACAATCTAATTTTGTACGAATATAACCTTGATAAGTGTCAAGATTGTGTACTAAAAGTCGTAATTAACATAAAAGATTTTAAACCATTGCCCACACACTCATTTCACTTGTGATTGTTTGGAAATAACATATTGCGGAAATAAAATGTAAATTAACCAGTGTATAAACGCGACAACTTGTTTTTATTACATTATTATAAATAGTGTATTATTTTTTGTTTCTTTATAAGTAACGTTAGTAAAGGCATAACTATACATGTAGATATTGATAAAGAAATTGAGTCGTCTTTACTTTAAAAAAATTCTCAAATCCCTTTCCCACGAACTGTCTTGAAAATAATATGTTACAACTGTATTGCCTCTGAAATTTCTATTTCAATGGTAAAACATTTGTAGAGGGTCGCCGAATTTGAGTATATATAGTTGAATCTTCTATATATATATATATATATAGCATGAAAAAGTGCCAAAATGGCAAAAGTGGTGTAACATCGTGACTGTAATAAGCATTGACATCTTATTTGTCGTCGTTTTTAGATATAACAAATTCACTTAAAAAGTTTTTGATTTCCAAATTTATAGCCTCGAGCATCACTGAAGAGACTTCTTTGGTCGAAATGCGCAACTGGTGCAGTTAAACTGGTACCGTTGGCATTATTACTTTATTTCAGAGATTATAATATTTACCATTATTAGTTTACGATCTTCATAGGCAGCTGCACCTGTTAAATTTATTAAGAATACCCATGATGTAACCTATTTAGGAATTTATTACCTATAAGTTTAACGTTACTCTTATTTCGGTGTTGTAGTACACATTAAATTAGTGGTATTTTGGAAGTGAAAAAAATTAAAAGCCTCAACTTTTTAAACGTTCAAAGGGAAGCCGCTCTATCAACAGGTATGGTCATTACCCTGTAGTTATAAAGTGTCTAACTTAGAAAATTGTTAAAAACATGAAATATTAAAGACACTACACAATATACTTTAGATATTTTTCAACAATCTATCTAAAAAAATCAAAATGTATCCAGCGTTATATTTTGCGGTTGAAGACAGTTTTGAAATAATATCGAAATGTTTCTTGTGAAACTTTGCATCGAAGGGTTGAATGATTGCATATGATTTCAATTTATTTTTAAGATAATACGCAGCCTTAGTTCTGATAAAAGTTTAGTTGCGACATTATTATTTGTTAAATTCTGGTTTTGTTCTGTGGTTTTGCACAAAAACATGTTAGATTACAAAGATTTGGGTTGAATAAACCTGCAATATGTTCTATTAGAGGTTTATTAGTAACACAAAGATTTTGACAAATTTTACCTGATGTTAACCTGCATAAATTCAGATACAAAAATTGTGAAGCTATTTCTTGGATTAAAATGCATCAATTCAGATTTAAAGGTCCGTAAAGTGCGTTTTTGGATTCACCTGGATGCATCGATTGATTACAAAAAGGCGAAAAGATACCATGTGTCCAATCAAATACTATTATTTGAAAAGATACCATGTGTCCTATCAGATACCTTAAGTCGAAATGATACCATGTGTCCAATCAAACACCATAAGTTGAAATGATACCATGTGTCCAATCAAACACCATAAGTTGAAATGATACCATATGTCCAAACAAAAACCATAAGTTGAAATGATACCATGTGTCCAAACAAACACCATAAGTTGAATTGTAACCATGTGTCCAATCAAACACCATAAGTTGAAATGATACCATGTGTCCCATCAAATATCATAAGATGAAGAATATCAGACAACACTCTGGCCAAAAATATCTCAATCAAAAGACAAACAACATCCACAAAACACTATTAAAACTGTAAAACTATTGAACTACATGAAGTCCATCAAAAACTGACATGAACTCAGTGACTCTATCGACTGTCGTGTTACTCTGTTAAAGATGATCAAGCATTATATATTATTTGATTGGTAAATGTATTTTGTCGACTTCTAGTATATCACTTAATTCGTTCTGTCTCAACAACTTGACTGAATGTGAATGTTTGGGGGAAAAATAAGAACATACCAGATTGCTTCCAGTAGAATCTATAGACGTTTGCAAATACATATGACACAATACAACCCTGAAAACGAAAACAAAGCAAAATGAACCCTTTTAAAAGGATTCAGGAGTCTGTAATTCAGTGATTGTCGTTTGTTCCTGTGTACCATATTTGGTAATTTTCATTTATTGGTATTTACAAAAATCAGTCCGTTTGTTTTCTCTTTGAAATGTTTCACATTTTGTCATTTTACCTTTTATAGCTTGCAATGCAGTATTGGATTTGCTCATTGTTGTATGCCGGACGGTGACACATAGTTGAAAACATCTACGTCATTTGGTCCTGATGGAGACTTGTCTCATTGGCAATCATACCACATCTTGTTATTTTAATATGAACTTAGGTGCTCTAGGAGAGTTAGCAGTATCTGTTGTAAAAGTGAGCACCCTTTAAGTTGCTGGTGAAAATAAAAAGTCGGAAGATAAGTTCAATCGGTGATGTCAAAATCGAGATAAAGAGCACGTGATTTTTGAGGTATGACAAGTACAACATATCCGTGGTCATTTGTGACAGATATATTCAATAACTGCCAACCAAATCATTATTCTGTCATTTTAAACTTTCCATTTCTCTATAATTTAATTTTGGATGTAATTCATCTTCTGATTGGCTGACGTTGTTTTGTTTATCAGCTTATAGACATAATTTTGTCATGTGACCGTGACGTCATCAACGCTTTTTCATGGTTTACTCCGGTTTAAAATGGAATTTAGAATTAAATTATAAGAAATGACTGTAATATTTTTTCTGTCTATTCGAAATAACATAAAAAATGTGGTGCACACTTTAAAATAACCCGCTACGCGGGTTATTTAGTGTGCACCACATTTTTTATGTTATTTCTCCATAGACAGAAAAAATATTACAGTCATTCCTTAAGTATCAAATTTTCGGCTGCATCTGAATATGGAGTATATATCTCTTTTTTGATAAAATAGGCTGCTAATAAGAAGGCTATTAAACCACGGGTTCCAAGTGGTTAAATTGAAGTCAACCCTTCGGACGCTATCACGAGTTAGTTGACCGTTATGGAATATTTATTTCACAGATGACGATGAATATGTTCTAAAATTCGTAACCACAATCCAGAACTTTTCCTCGAATGTGACACCACCGAATTAGACTCATCACCAAAGGTGTACTTGCATTAGCAACACGGTATTTGACACATGATTTTTGTCTGTTTGTCGTCTTTTGTTTTTTGCCATTCAATGGTTGCCTTGTTGCCTTCGACATGTCAGTTTGAATATCTCTTTGGTACCTTCTTATTTTCAAAAAGATAACGTAAACTTTATCATTATGAATTATTGGTTCAATAGCTTTATTTGAAGTAACAACGCTCTAACACAGAAATTATAACAGGAATCGAAAGGTCTGAAAATGGCACTCTTAGAATAATGCTTCACAGAAGTTGAATGTTAACAGTGGGAATAATAAAACTTGAAAATAAAAACAAGCAGAGGAACCAATCATTTCACACAATAAAGCCGACTGTCTGTTAATCAAACGTGTCAATCAAAATGACCGGTCATGAATATGTTAGAAAAAGAAAAACAAGCAATTTGATGACGGCAGATACGATTAATTTTTGTTTTAATCAGAGTGTTTTTATGCATTATGATTTGTCCTTTCTTGAAAACAGGCTACTGGTATCTGAGAGAGTCTTTCATTTTCTAGATAGAGTTAATTTTACATATTATGTTATCATTTGACTGTTAATGACGATTTCGCACTAAATCCATTGGATATGGATGTCAGCTGACTAATATTTTAGTCTTGGATACAGAATTTTTGTATAAGTTGTTATTGTAACTGCGAGTATTTTCAGATCTGTATTTTGAATCTTTATTGCTTTTGTTTGTTGTTTTTGTGTTTTGTGTCGATCTAATGAGTTCAGACCCTTTTCAGCTGATTTTTATACTTTACTCTGATTATGTGCTGTTACACCACTGAACCTTGTTAGGGGAGCGTTAGGTGCCCAAAAACATTTTTGGAAGCCATACGGTGACCAATAGTTGTTAACTTCTACGTCATTTGGTCTCCGGTGTAGAGTTGTCTCATTGGCAATCATACCACATCCTCATATTTTAATATAACAATAAGTTTATATAAAACATGTAAAAGCGGACGTGACCTTGACATCTGTTTTATATACATGTATACATATATAGTGTATTGAATCGACTTTAGAATATTTTCATTTCGGGATGTGATGTTCATTGTGTTCCTAGAGCATTATTCAACTATATAATGGTGTTTAAGAAGTCTTTCAAACTTAATACAAAAGACCACTTCAAGGAAAGAAGTAACAATAATGTAAAATATGATATGAAACCAGATGGCGGTTGGGGATGGATTGTCACATGTGCTATGTGCCTATGTTTATGTTTATCAACAGCATTAAGATCGAGTATTGGAATATTATACACATATATGATAGATGAATTCGGATTTGATTTAACAGTGTTAAGTATTATAGGTTCAATAAATGGTGCTGTATCCTATACTGGAGGTTTGTAGTGTTTAATTCATACAGGAACATGTTCATTATATCTATTTCATTATTGTACACATTTCAGAAGCTAAAAAGATAACAAACAGCATCAAAGATGTGTTTCACTGATATTTCTGCAGCATTGTATAACATTGCTGTCTCAAGTACACCAATACTTACACGCATGCCTTGTCATATCCGTGATTAATGGTGTTTGAGGTTTAGTCATCCTTCTTTTAACTTTCATGTTATCATGTCCATCAAATGTACAGGGATATATGAGGTGTATTTCTATAAGAGGGCAACTAAATGATATAAACGACATTAAGATGTAAATTTCTGATTGCACATACATGTCATTTCTGTTACCCACTTTAAATAGTAGTCTAAATGATAAACATTATGACAGCTTATATTCATTCAAGAAAATAATTTCCAGTAAAATAATGTAGTTTAACTCTAAAAATGACGTGCATGCTGTTATTACATGGATATAGAGGGAAGTACTTATTTTATTAAGCAATGACTTGGACCAAACCTCAGACTTTTTGCAAAAGTTTCAATAAAAGTATGACTTCTTTTCGAGTGTAGTAACATTAAAGGAAATAATTTCCAGTAAAAATAATGTATTGGAATTAGTTTACCATGTTTTTTTTTTGATACTTTAGACATATTTATTTGATTGCAGCTTTCTTCACAGTGCCCCTTATAGAACGATTTGGTATAAGACGGGTGCTATGCGTTGGTGGATTGATACAGTTTACAGGATGCTTGATGTCAGCTTTTGCTTCCTCCTTTGTCCTTCTACTGATATCTCTATCTATTATATCGGGTAAACGATCTTTAAATTAGTATGAAGAATTAATTAGGTATTGAATTATGTCGGTTTATTGTGATGTTTGTTTGCTGCCATGCTAACTTGGTTGAACTTTTATGTAAGCCGGTATTGTAGCACCGTCAGATACACGGATGATACTTTACAAATTATCATTACTTCTTTTTTTTATTAAAAATCAAGATAGATATAAATTTAGTGTAAGATCATTAATTTGTTCTCTGTACGTCCCTTTTTATCCCGCCAAACGTTTTGTGTACGTCTTTTTACACAGAAAGACCAGTGTGGGCTTTCGCTATCATTTCTTTCCCTATTGGCAACTATTTTGCTATTTTTCAAATAAAAATTTTACTTAATTATTAACAACATTTTTTTTATGAGTTTTTTAAACCGCTGTCTTGATGTTATTGCTTTATCCCCGAGGGTATCACCCTCCAACAATTCAAGACTCTACTGCTGACATTATATATCTTTAATACGGTCATTTTCTGTAAACAATTGTTTATAAAACGTTCAATTATTTGAAACAGTAATGCATTCTATCACCAGACATAGATGACTTGAGCAAGGATTGGCACATTATTAACTATGGAATTTAGTTTTCAATGCTCTTTTTTATTTGATATGGCTTTCCGACTCTTTCGAGTGCCACTGATAAGTCGTATGCAGACATGCGTAACATGTAAACAGACTGCAATTTAGTTAGGTAAGAGTATTTGTTTGTAGGAATTTGGTTATACAGTACAACGAACAGACTTATTATATTATGATATCTTTTATATGTCCGATGAAATATTCCGAAAAAAAGAATTTGGGTATCCATTTATTATTGTTTATATACAACATTATATGAGAGGGGAATGCAATATTTCGGTCTTTATTTGGCCTTTTAAAACTTTTTTTTTAAAAGACTGGGAAATGCATTAACATATGTTACTGGTGTAGTAGCAATTGATGTTTATATACAACATTGTAGGACTGGGAAATGCCTTAACATATGTTACTGGTGTAGTAGCTATTGATGCTTATTTTGATAAAAAGAAGTCTATAGCTGTTTCAATTGCAACCACTGGTATTTCCCTAAGTCGAATAATATTCCCATCTACGGTTGAGTTCCTCCTTTCAAAATATGGATTCAGCGATGCAATGATGATATTTTCCGCTATTTTGTTGAACTTTGTTGTATGTGGAGCAGTTGTTTTCCCGCAAAGATTAGTCAGTCAAGGTAAGTTATAAAAAGCTGTATATTATTTATGTTACTCAAATACTATTTTAGTATTTTGAACATCGGTAAATAACTGTAGCATTTATTTAGTATATGTGACCCGCCGTAATGTAAAATCACGTAACGTAATCGGGGCACCTGTAGTTGAATGTCCTTTTATATCGTGGTAAAAGAAAGTTTAGTGTTTTCATGACTTAAGGAAATTTGCATTTTGTGTCAAGATATGCAAAACATTTAAATTGTTTACATAAAAATTAATAATTTCGGTTAAAATCCCGTTTAGAATCGCGTTCTAGATTCACATAATTTATCTTTTAAATTTCATTGCGTAAATTCCTTTCTCCTGAATCATTGATATTTAATAAAGTAAATCTCATTGTTTCACGTTGTAAGGTAAATATGAACATCTGTATCGACATATACATGATATATCGGTACATGTAACTCAAGCAAGATATACCTGCCCATCTGCCCATCAGGTCCCTCAATGACCCCAATAGATGAATATAAGAAAGCATATTTAATAATACATAGCTCCTTGATGGTTTATTTAATATCTTGCTATTCACTTTCTTAGCAATGAAGTAGTTTTCCTTACTAAAGAAAGAACAAAGTTGCAGTCGTTATTATTTTGATTGCAGATTCCGCTACATTGTTGCTATAGCAACCGAATTAAAATCCTACAGTTACTTAGTTATTAAAGCTAAAACAAAATTTTGAATATTTAAGAAGACTTGAACCCCATCCCCTCCAAAATAACTTATCACTTGAACCCCATCCCCTCCAAAATAACTTATCACTTGAACCCCATCCCCTCCAAAATAACTTATCACTTGAACCCCATCCCCTCCAAAATAACTTATCAGGATGTTTTGAATCTATACATTCTTCATACAAAATACTAAAAACTCATTTTGACCCTGGTACCTCCATTAGCCTGGTACCTCCATTAGCCTGGTACCTCCTTTAGCCTGGAAATCTTATGGCTGGTCACAATTATTTAAAGAGGTTTTTTAGACACTGGTACCTCCATTAGCCTGGAAATCTTATGGCTGGTCACAATTATTTAAAGAGGTTTTTTAGACACTGGTACCTCCATTAGCCTGGAAATCTTATGGCTGGTCACAATTATTTAAAGAGGTTTTTTAGACACTGGTACCTCCATTAGCCTGGAAATCTTATGGCTGGTCACAATTATTTAAAGAGGTTTTTTAGACACTGGTACCTCCATTAGCCTGGAAATCTTAGGGCTGGTCACAATTATTTAAAGAGGTTTTTTAGACACTGGTACCTCCATTAGCCTGGAAATCTTAGGGCTGGTCACAATTATTTAAAGAGGTTTTTTAGACACTGGTACCTCCATTAGCCTGGAAATCTTAGGGCTGGTCACAATTATTTAAAGAGGTTTTTTAGACACTGGTACCTCCATTAGCCTGGAAATCTTAGGGCTGGTCACAATTATTTAAAGAGGTTTTTTAGACACTGGTACCTCCATTAGCCTGGAAATCTTAGGGCTGGTCACAATTATTTAAAGAGGTTTTTTAGACACTGGTACCTCCATTAGCCTGGAAATCTTAGGGCTGGTCACAATTATTTAAAGAGGTTTTTTAGACACTGGTACCTCCATTAGCCTGGAAATCTTAGGGCTGGTCACAATTATTTAAAGAGGTTTTTTAGACACTGGTACCTCCATTAGCCTGGAAATCTTATGGCTGGTCACAATTATTTAAAGAGGTTTTTTAGACACTAACTTTATTAAAAACTGAGCAACACGAAATCAAGCAAAGTCCAAGATAATGAACTGAAATGATCAGCAGTTCTTTCTCCCTTAGTGGAACACGCTGTGTTGCTGTAATTACCAAAGTTCGTTGTAAAATGTCATTTGTATTAACCTAAGACATCACTAAATCAATTAACTATCAGTACATGCAATTGCGGACTTATAAATTTTTTAAAGATATTTTTGAAACAGATATAATTGAGTAAGAAAATTTCAAGTCGATACAGAAGTGCATGTGCTAAATTTAGGTGTGGTGTCGCCCCTTTGCGAATAGAAACAGGTCGCTAGGAAAACAAAACTGTAAATGAAAGAGTTGCTTTTTATGTAATGATCAAATTGAAGATGAGAAACATGTTTTATTAGACTGTCCTTTAAATGCAGGTTTGGATGAAAGTTTATTTTACTAAGTTAAAAGAAGTAATGTTAATTTTGATAATTTATCTGATGATGATAAGTTTATACATCTTTTTAAAAGTACTGATTGTTATGAAATGGTTGCCAAGACCTGCTTTAATATTTTAACTATAAGAAATAGTTTTGTATATGCTTGATTGATAGTTATATTTTTACAGAACTGAAATATTTTATAAACATGATAAATGTATGTTGTTATATGTTTTATAGAACGGGAATGTTTAATAGACATGATAAATATATATTCATAATCTATTGGAATTTCTGCAATCTCTCATAATTCTTTATAGAATGGTACTTGTATTTTAACTTATAAAATTACTGTTTTATACAATTTATATATTATAATAATTTTATTACATGTATTACAAGTGTTGAGACTTTAATAAACTATTGAATCTGAATCTAAATCTGTAAACTCTCTTACCTTGTTACTTGAACGAATGAGAATGCTTGAATTAAAACCCGGTTGATATCACTCTTAATGTCATTGAACTAATTATATAAAACAAATCACAACACAACATTGGAAACTTAAGCAAAAGCAACTTTAATAAATAACAGTATGGGTGGGTAAACTTTAGTGCTCCGGACATTTAGGCAGATCTTGTTACGCTATAGGCACCTATCGTTTTGATCATGGCAAAATATTATGTTAAGTCGCGTTTTGTGATGCTACAACCGAGGGATTTAGCCTGAAAATGTGAACAAAAAAAGTTTTTACATTCATGCAAGATCTTATAACGAATGAAAAGAGGTGTGGGGATATATGCAGAACAGCCAGTTTGTTATTCTTTCTTTTGTGAAAACTTGTATAATGTAAAAAAAATTTACATTTTTTTTTTCTTTTGACAGAAGTTGTCTCATCAAAAACAGAGAAGCTAGAAAAGGACATGGCGTTTTGTAAAAACACGGGTTTTATATTATATGTACTTGCAAGTTTCTTATATAGCCTTGGTATTTTACTTCCTGTAGGTTTTATACCTGAAACTGCTTCAGCTAGAGGAATAAGTGTAGCAAGTGTTTCCCTTACATTTGTTGGAAGTGGCATTATGGACATATTAGGACGCATTTCTTTTGGAATTATATCACATAGGTATTCATTCTATGTATGTAAAATATGGAGCGCCTGTTTGGCAGGGTTTGGACTGTCTATGCTGATCGTTCCATTTTCCAACCAATTGTATCAGTTTCTTTTATTCAACTTATTAAATGGGTTGCTAAATGGTAAGGGCAGTTACCTAAAGTATTAAGACATATAACATAAATATTTTCTCATACAAATATGCATATATCACTTCAAAATTTAAACAAACGTTAAACATCATAAAACAGAAAAAGGGTGGAAGATACTAAGGGAACAATTAAATCTCATCAGTTGAAGAGAAACTGACAACCTCATGGAAAAAATGAAGGACGAAGGAAAGACAAACACGTCCACAAAGCACTACATAGAAAATTAAAAACTGAGAAATACTAATCCCATCTAAACTGGCATTCATCATGTAGTTTATGTTGAGTACTCATTCAACGATAAGTCTCATTCGGTGACGTCATAATTAAGGAAAAGATGACGGGAGTGTGGGTACGGCAATTGGAATTTATCCTTGGTTATCTGTCACATAGTTATACCATAATGGCCAATTAACCCATGATGGTGTCCGTAAATCTTTTGAAGGGATGACTTTAACTCCACTTTGAACTCTTGTTGCAATAGCTTCCTTGTAAGCAGAAATCATCTATTAATGAAAAAATGACAGAGAAGGTCTTGAATATCGTATAACCTGGGGGATCTATACTCCATATAAAGGCGCTGCTAGAGTGTTGATACATAGAACTGGAAATTTCACAATGAAAAACTAAAATTATCTCTTTTATTGTGTACGAACTTCAGTTGTCAACTGACTCTCATTGTAAAGGAGTAGGGGCATTAAGGCACAGTTTTGGCCCAAGAAAATAAAATGTTTGACAACTGTTTCAAATTTCCACATACTAATTGGAAATGTATAAAGTCAAGAAATATAAATGAAAAGCATGAGATTTATTATCTGATGACGTCACAATTACGTCATTATATGTCCCGTTTTCATGAAAACAATGAAAAATACAGAATTCATGAAGTTTTCCATCATTATTTCCATTGCGGAAACATCGTGCGCAGCCAAGAAACAACAAAATAATTTAAGAGAAGCTTTATTATAACTGTTGACATAATCTCACCAAATATAAAGTTGTTTCTTGGGTGCGCACATACTTTACCAGTCTAAAACATACTTAAAATTTGATGAAAAACAAGGAAAATCAAGAAATTTTACCAAATAAACAAATTTCGTCAATGTTTGTTGCCATGGTTACTCAATAAATATGAAATTTGTTTTTATTTTCTGAATTAACTTTTACCTTAGTCTTTTTATGACAAATTTACGAATATGTATGATAACTTTTAAATTTTCACTAATATTTGGGCCAAATAAGAGCCTTATTGCCCCTACTCCTTTCTAGATGTGAGTCAAGATATGAGACAGACTAAACTGTATCGATGGTATTCTTTATTTCACATTCGATGAGATGCGTTAATTATAACAAATAAACTTTGAATTGTTTATTGAGAAGAATTACAGCGGAACGTAACGATAAAGGATATTGCTACATATTTTCATGTAATTATTATATAATATCAAAACTGTCAAATGGACAATGCGTCATGTTTCAAACATGTGATTGTTTGATGTTGGTATATAATACTTAAAGTAGTAAAAATGCCTTAACAAAATTATCGAACCCGAAGGTAAACTTACAAAATCAAATGTTCAATCAACGGAACGAATAAAAAACAACCTTTTCATACTTCTGACAGGAAGTTTGCAATGAAAATGATGGGTTAAAACCTCCCAGTTGAATATCTAAACAATACATATATACAAACAAATAAATCGAATCAAGACGCCAACAAACAATTTGTTGTAATTTATAGTAAATTTATCTCCAACTTAAAATTTCTTAAATATCTATATTTCAAACTGGTTAGAAGTTTTATATAATTTATGTCACAAATGTGGAAACACACAGTAAGCGCATGTTTTGCAGATTTTTCGAAATTATTTTGTAAGTAAATTTCAGCCGAAATGCTCTTTCGATTAGTCTCTTTTGCTTCAATCTAGCAAATCTTCCATATGATGCAAATTTAACAAAAGGAATATCTTACCAAGGCCATGACAACAGTACATTGCTCAAATATGTTTTCCATTACACGTTTTAAAAATAAAATTTAAACTTGGATCATACTTTTTAACTTTTGAAAGTTTGCCTAGACAAACAAAACCTAAATTGCACCATCTTATTTCCATCTTGTTATTATTTTGTTTTCTAGGGGGTGTGAATCTAGGATATGCGTTGGCAATTAAAAACATAACAGAACCTAAATATTATGGTCGAGGAATAAGTATGTCCTTGGTTATGCAGGGTCTTGGTATACTTGCAGGAAATCCATTAGCAGGTAGTTAGATGTAGTAATAAAAAAGCATGCTATGAATAAAGGCAACAGTAGTATAAGTCTGTTCAAAAGTCGTAAATCGATTCAGAAAAAACCAATCCGTGTTACAAACTTAAACCGAGGGAAACACATCAACTATAAGAGGAAAACAACGGAACAACAGAATCACTGAACTGCAACAAAAACAAACGCCAAAATACATAAAAACGGACTATTTGATAACAACTGCCATATTCCTGACATTTTAAGAAAAACATGTTTGGTTGAACCTGGTTTTATGGCTAGCCAAACTTCCCGCTTATATGACAATGTTACAAAATATTGCTAAAATGACAACACTACTTGACAGGAATATAGTACAAACAAACGCAAGACCACACACTCAGCACAGAGAAATGAATAATATTATAGTACATTACAACATGTAAACCGAAGAATAACAACAAACATCTCCCATTAACGACAGCACAGGACACCACAGACAGTGTCGTTTTTTTTGTGACGTATAAAAAATCTTGAAATGCATACAATTACATAGAACGAGATCCAAAACTTCACAATTATTTTCACAATACTAGTCCAAATAATACTGCATTGTCAAAGATACCGATATTTTTTTTTTCATTTTAAAAGCCTTTAGGAAGGAAACACCAGCTATAAATTCATGATAGCAATAAAGAAAGCAAATAAAAAAACTATTACTAAAGTTCTTTTAACTTTTCTTTGTGAATAAAATAAGAATAAAATTTAAAATGTATGGCTCACAGACACTTTAAACCGCGCCAAATTCTTTAGATTCCTTTCCAATTCATGGGCCTTAAAAAAAAAAGACGAAAGACACCAAAGGAACATTCAAACTCACAAGTCGAAAATTAACTAAAATTAAAAAGAAAAAGACAAACAGACAAACAAAAGTACACAAAGCATAATATAGAAAACCAAAGACTGAGCAAGACCAAAACCCGGGGGTAATCTCAGGTGCTCTGGAAGGAAAAACAGATCCTGCTCCACATTTGGCACCCGTCGTGTTAGTACAAACCCAGTGATAAGTCTAATTCGGTAGGTCACATTCCGGGAAAATGGGACGGAATTGTAGTTACGACAATTGGAATATATCCGTTGTCATCGGTGAAACAGATATTTCAAAACGGTCAACCAACTGGTAACGGCGTCCTTAAAATTTACAAAGGGATGATTTCAATTCATCCACATGGAACTCTTGGTTTAATAGCTTCCTTGAGAGCAGCAACCCTCCATCAAAAAAATCATGATAGGAAATACAAGCCCTGGAATATCATATTAACTGGCAAATATATACTCCATATACAGGCGCTGCTGGAATGTTACTATATATAAATGGAAAGTTCACACTTGGGAAACTGATATCATCTTTTTTGTCGTAAAGTTTTGTTTTTAAGCGACCCTCATTGTGTATTTTTAGACGGCAGACTTAACTGTAACTGTTGTATCCTTTATTTCAAATTCGATAGGATAGATGCGTTCAACATAGTCACCAAAGTTTGAATTATCTAGTGAGAGAACATCTATATAGCAGAAAGTGAAGTTAAAGGATACTGCTAACTTCTTTTCTTTCTTCCTAAGAAATTTATGTATGAGGTCAGCCTCATATGAATAAAGGAACAAGTCGGCAAGAAGAGGGCACAGTTGGTTCCTATGGGAATGCCGATTGTTTGTTGAAAAACACATCCTCCAAACGTAACAAACGTGTTGTCAATCAAGAAATCAAGCATCTTGATAATATCAGTTTCAGAGAATTTTTGTTTCAATCAGAGTGATTTTTTACGATTTATCCCTCTATAAGACAGATACTTGTATCTACGTTGGCCATTCTTTTTATGAAACAAAGCAGGACCAACTATTTCAATGCGTCTTTTAGTTTGGAATGAGGAATACTTGTGTAAAGTGTAATTCAATGGTTGATATTATTTTCGTTTATCGTTTTGTTATAAATCTGGTCGTTGGTTTTCTCGTTTAAATTGTTTCACATTTTGTCATGTCGGGATTGATTAATTTGGACTAGCATATTTGTGCTTGCACAAACCATCCTCAGCTGCAAATTTAAGAGTATCGCAGTTCAAATTTGCCTGACACATTTGAAACCTTGATTTCATTACCATTCATTACAAAATGTATTACTTTAATTCATTTGAACTTTATAATTCAAATCATGAGTACTGGACTACTGGGAATTTGACGGAAAACAACGATTAGCACCAGTGTTCCAATGATAGTATGGCAAAATGATATATCCGATACGGAGTTCTTGATAACAAAATAACGATCATCATTATACAGAAAAGAGATCTTCAGCAATGGGAACATCGTATGATGTATAGTAAGCAACAAAAGGCCCGGGAAAAGATGAAACAAATAAAAAAAACGGCGGACTGATTTATATAATAAAAGAACGAAAAACAGTTATGACAATAGCAATCAAAGATAACCTCTGGAGATCACACACTTCTATGTAATAACATGCACATAAAGAATGTGGCGATTTGAACATTAGCGTGAGCGCGCTTATTTAAGGAAGGCTTGGTTAACATTTTGAACGACAAATGCTTCAAATGCTTGCAAATTTAATCTCAAATGAGACTATAAAATCATAATCATGAATTTTCTCAGCTTTTTGAAACATTAATTTTAATACAAATACGCAACTGATAAATTGTACAGTAGTCAGAATATAATATGTTCATCAATCTTATTTTTTGAATATGAAATGATTTTTATTTCAATGTAATATGTTTCTTATCTTCAAAGTAAAACATTTCAGCGTATCTACAAGAAATAATTGGCAATGAGAATGTACCTTATTACTTTGGCACAATTATTTTCATCATGACAGCTTTAGTTTTACTACCGTTTTCCGGATCTAGACAACATGACGTGAGCACAATTGAGATCAAAGTATCTGAACATCATCTTGGTGAAAATGACAGTAAACATTAACAACAGTAATATTTAGAAACTTTTCTGGTTTAATTGAAGATTCAATACCATTTATTGAACTATAAATGCAAATGTTATAACCATATATTATGGATTAATTTCAATGAAATATTTTGCTGTTTATACATAATAATGAAGCTTATATTTTAAGTATGCATATCAAAAGATGTGATGTGTTTGTCACTGAAACATCATTTGGTTTACAATAATATACACATTAATATATATGCAACAGCCCTAGCTTTTGCAAATTGTCATTATAATAAACAAAGATGATGAATAAATCTACTATAATTACTAATTTCTTTGTTGGACAAAATACCAAGATGTCAAAGATGACAGCAAATGAAAGTTTGGATTACCTACTTAAATATGTCTTGGGTTAAACTAGCCTTCTTGATATCACCCAACCCCACCAATATTATCAGCTTTGAAATGTAACCCACAACAATGAAAATTGCACAAAATTAAAATTTACTGGAACATAAACAATTACAGTAGTATTAAATACATCAAACCACAACTACGAGTAATCAATGCTTAATAATAATGTATCAAATGATGTATGTAAATACTGAGAGGCAACTCAAATATCTTGTCCATTTTATATAATGCTCTCTATATGCAACCAACATCCTAAAATAGAAAACATCCTCCTATAAAAATAAATTTTAAAAGGCGAACACAACGAATAAAACAACTGTTATACAGATTCATAAGACATGTGTTGTTGCCATTTTTTTTTAATAATTAGTAACTTTTGTAATTGCCTTTTTTAAAATAGAGGCTGAAGATACCAAAAAGGATATTCAAAGTATTCAGTCGAAGACAAACTGACAACGCTATAGCCAAAAACGAAAAACCACCAAAAGACAAGCAACAGTCAACAAAACATAACATTGAAATCTAAACAATAAAGACAAGAATCCTACAAAAAATTAGGGCGATCTCAGGTGCACCGGAAGAGTATTCTGCTTCAAATGTGGCACCCGTTCCCGTCGTGTTGCTCATGCATGTAATTACAAATTCGATGATAGAATTCATTTTGTCATGTCAAATTCACAGAAAAGAGAACGGGTTTGTGGTTACGAAAATAAAAACATTTTGATCGCCATCTGTGAAACAGATATTCCATAAATGTCAACCAACTAGTGACGGCGCCTATCAAATTTTCGATGGGATGACTTCAATTACACCATTTGGAACCCTTAATTCAATAGCTTCTTTGTAAGCATGAACCCTCTATGAAGGAAATCATGACAAGAAATTCACGATCTGAAATATCGTATCAACCTGGAGATAATAATTTAAAGGAATTAATAGTTGTACACTGTAACGGCAACAGATGCAACATATAGCTAAAATTCGAACATACTAAAACAACTGTTTGATAAATATTTTTAATATAGCTACTAATATTAGGACACGTGCTCTCTGCAGATATTCCCAATGTTGATGACATTTTTCAATAACACTGTATTCTTATTAAATCAAACGTTCACTATTTAACAAGGCGCTATATTTTGAGGTCGTGTAAAAAGCGATGCTGCCAAGGGAACGTCTATAAACTGTAAATCGAGAAACGTCTTAAGACCAAGGAAACACAAATAACGACACCACAACAGTCCCGAAACAATACACTAAAGATTTAGGAACTCAAACACCAACAAAAATCGTTAGTGAACTCAAACATTCTGAAAGGGTAAGCATTTTCTGCTTGATGACTCAAGAGTTTATTGAAAACTGGCAATAGACCCGCAATTACTTAATATGTTAGAAAACAGCAAACAAAGTCGATACATTACTGTAGCCCGGGACAAAATGAAGTTTTCCCTACGTTTACCTTATCTAAACAGAGCAACCAAACGACTTTACCCGAAGAAGATGCAAAATGAGTTTAAGCATACTTAGATAAATAAATGAACTGAAAACTTACGCATTGTATCAAATATTTTTCTTTAAAATCATTTAAGATTGGGAGAGAAGTTGCAAGGTGCTGAAGGATTTTTGTTAGGAACTAACGACATCATTATAATCAACTTAACGTGTACGCGAAAAGCACGACAAACTGCGACACGGCATTATAAATAATCAAAGCGCGAAAGCGCTGTAAAGGCAGTTAATTACAGGTTGTGTGTATTTTTAGTCCAGTTATATCATTATCTTGCATAGTACATTGTACTTATCAGAGGTGGCTTTCAGTATTTAAGATTTAGAGTTCTCTAATGATATTGAACAAGTTTTATGAATGTCATATTCTGAGCACTATATGAAGGCGATTGTTTTCACTTGTTTATGAACTAGTGCATTATGTCCAGTTTGTACCTTTTTTATCTATGTTTATAGTCAAATACTGTTTAAAATAGTTTGGCATTTTCTTTTAAGTAATAAGTAAATGTTATCAACTGTATTTTATTCAACTTTGCAAATGTGGTTTGTTACTGGTAAGTACAATGTATGGATGATAGTTGTTTCATTGGCAATCATAACACATCTCCTTATTTATATAATGATCTATATTAAACGACCTCAGGTACAAAAAAAAATGTATGTAACTAAACTATGATGGGAAACCTTTGACTTCTTTCTTTAATATAAACTTTTGATTTGGTACCATAGAACTATGTAGAATAAATGTACATTGCAACATGTCAACTCTTTCAATGACAATACTTTTTTTAGAAACAATAACTCCAAGCAAAATTATATTTCCAAGTATAAAGTAATTTATGAATGAAACAAGAGTGCACACGCTGAAATGTCTCGCCTTCTTTACTAATCATTGATATTATGTTGATAGTCCTAAATATAAAGCTTTATTACAACTGTCACATAAACTTAACATTAACCAAGTAAACTAAACATTGACCAATGAACCAAGAAAATGAGGTCAAGGTCAGATGAACCATGCTAGGCAGGCATGTACAGCTAACAATTCTTCCATACAACAAATATAGTTGACCTATAGCTTATAGTTTAAGAAAAACAGACCAATACACATAAACTTAAAACTGAGCAATGAACCTTGAAAATGAGGTCAAGGTAAAAAAAAAAACCTGCGTGACTGACATATAGATCATAAAATATTTCCATACACCAAATATAGTTGAACTATTGCATATAGTATTAGAAAAAAAGACAAAACTCAAAAACTTAACTTTGACAACTGAACCGTGAAAATGAGGTCAAGGTCAGATGACACCTGCCAGCTAGACATGTACACCTTACAATCATTCCATACACCAAATATAGTAGACCTATTGCATACAGTATAAGAAAAACAGACCAAAACACAAAAACTTAACTATAACCACTGAACCATGAAAATGAGGTCAAGATCAGATGACACCTGCCAGTTGGACATGTACACCTTACAGTCCTTCCATACACAGAATATACTAGACCTATTGCTTATAGTATCTGAGATATGGACTTGACCACCAAAACTTACCCTTGTTCACTGATCCATGAAATGAGGTCGAGGTCAAGTGAAAACTGTCTGACGGGCATGAGGACCTTGCAAGGTATGCACATACCAAATATAGTTATCCTATTACTTATAATAAGAGAGAATTCAACATTACAAAAAATCTTAACTTTTTTTTCAAGTAGTCACTGAACCATGAAAATGAGGTCAAGGACATTGGACATGTGACTGACGGAAACTTCGTAACATGAGGCATCCATATACAAAGTATGAAGCATCCAGACCTTCCACCTTCTAAAATATAAAGCTTTTAAGAAGTTAGCTAACGCCGCCGCCGGATCACTATCCCTATGTCGAGCTTTCTGCGACTTTTGTCGCAGGCTCGACAAAAAGGAGTTCTTAATTAAGTAATAAACTGATTCGCTGAGTGCAGCTGGATACACCCACAGAGGTCCAACCCTGAACAGTTGGGGCAAAAATGGACACAATATTCAAGCTTGATACAGGTCTGAATTTGGATTGTAATTAAATATTTGACATATTATAGTTTCTGAATAAATGTAGTCAAAGAACTTGAAATCGGTTATATGAATTGAATTTATATTCAATTAAAGATTTCTTGCTGTTGTGCAATACACTGTGCTGTTGCGCAATACTTCATAAATCTGTTGCCAGACTATAAACAAATAAAGTTCAATTTCTTCTCAATGTCATATTTGAAATTTATGAAAATCAATAGGGAGATTACATCAATAGCTATAAATAATTCACCAAAGTTTCATGCGAACTGCTTAAAGCATTTTTGAGTTGTTGTCCAAAAACTGGAAAATCCCCCCCCCCCCTTTTTAATGAATAAAACCCCATAACTCAGAAATGTAAAATCTAAAATTTATAAAATTCTAAAGGGAGCTTACGGATTGATAATTTAGTCTTAGATGCAAGATTTTTTTATCAGTTGTTTGTGGCTTTGAACTAGCTGTCAGTAAATGCGAGTACTGTCAGATCTGTACTTAGTGTCTTTTTGTTGTTTGGATGTACAACTACCCGGCCACGTCCACTTGTATTTGTATTTATCCATCTGATGAGTTAAGCCTCTTTCAACTGATTTTTATAGTTCGCTCTTATATTGTACTGTTACACCACTGTCCCAGGTTAGGGGGTGGGTTGGGATCCCGCGAACATGTTTAACCCCGCCACATTCTGTATGTACATGTATGTGCCTGTCCCAAGTCAGGAGCCTGTAATTCAGTGGTTGTCGTTTGTTTATTTGTTGCATATTTGTTATTCGTTCATTTTTTGTACATAAATTAGGCCGTTAGTTTTCTTGTTTGAATTGTTTTACATTGTCATTTCGGGGCCTTTTATAGCTCACTGTGCGGTATGTGCTTTGCTCATTGTTGAAGGCCGTACTGTGACCTATAGCTGTTAATTTCTGTGTCATTTGGTCTCTTGTGGAGAGTTGTCTCATTGGCAATCATACCACATCTTCTTTTTTATATTTACATCAAGAGATATAAACAATTCACCAAAGTCAAGGTGAGACAACAAAACTTAGTTGTAAGATCTCTGAAATTTTTTACACAGTACAAGTTTTTCTAATTGTTGGAGATTGTATGGTGACAGTAACACCTGTAACTGCTTAACCCATTTCTTATGCACTTTGGTTCGATAAACTCACTGAATATCATACAATGTACAACATCTCCTTATTTTTATATGCATTACAATTTACATGTGCATGTAATTGTAAATAATATTTATATATATATATATCAGAACAAACTTCATTGTGTCACTTTTATTTATGCATCCTTTGGCACAATACAAGTTCTAAAATTACACAACATAAAACAACTAAATGTTATTTCAGATGAAAGTTTTGTTTCAGTTCCATTCATAGGATTTATTAGAATTTTGTATGTTTTGCCAAGTCCAATAATTAGCTCTATGTGCACGTGTTAATTGGAGACTTTTCTATCCCGTATAAGAGTTTTGGAACTAATTCTGTTTCTTTTTTTGAAAAAAGTGAGCAAACAAATCTTGCACATTTAAACCTTTGTCTTCCATCACACTGTCACCTGGATCACATAATTGAACTATTCTACATCTTTCAACTAATTCACAGTCACTGGTACAACCAACATATGCATTAGAGACATAGTTGACTAAACCACCAGGTGTCGAACATACAAGTATTTTCAGTGTTTCTGTTTTTATATGATGAAAAGGTTGCCTGAGCTCTAGGAGCTTTAGGTTTTATCACGGGATATTCTGTGCTGTCAATAATAATCCAAGT